TAGTCCAGAGAAATTGATCAAGAGGTTTCCTAGAGTTAGGTCTCTAACGTTAAAAGGAAAGCCCCATTTTGCGGACTTCATCTTGGTTTCGCATGATTGGGGAGGCTTTGTGTACCCATGGATTGAATCCATGGCCAAGAATGGTGTCAATCTGGAGGGTATACACTTAAAGAGGATGTTGGTTTCCGATGAGGGGTTCACCATTGATGGCACCACTGCCATAGCTTCCAATTGCAGGTATATATATACTAATACTATGTATACATCACAGTTTTGTTCTTCTACTTCTTTTCTTGTTTTGGACATGACTACCAATTTTTTAGCTGATTTGCTTCATTCTTGACTATGGTATATAAGTTTTGCTTTGACTGTCTTTTTTAGTACACGATATTGCTATGGTTTTGGGTACTTAATTTTCTTTAATTTGAAAGATTTAGCTGGAAGTTGGTTACTTTTAATTTGGGAGGTCATTACCAATTTCTTTATGATTTTTGGTTGGGGTTACACATTCAAGCAAAAATCGAAGCTTGATCTACTTTTGTTATTTCATTGTGTTCATTGCTGCTATATATGATGGGTTGGTGAGTCTTGGATGACTTCTCAATTGTTCTGTGTTGGTCATTCATCTTGTCCAGTTGTTAAATTGGGTTTCTATTCTTTGTTGGAAATCCAAACAAATTCTTATTTGAATTTTAATGTGTGTATATATATATTTATATCTTAAATTTAGAAGAAAAAAAAAGAGGTTTCCTAGAGTTAGGTCTCTAACGTTAAAAGGAAAGCCCCATTTTGCGGACTTCACCTTGGTTTCGCATGATTGGGGAGGCTTTGTGTACCCATGGATTGAAGCCATGGCCAAGAATGGTGTCAATCTGGAGGGTATACACTTAAAGAGGATGTTGGTTTCCGATGAGGGGTTCACCATTGATGGCATCACTGCCACAGCTTCCAATTGCAGGTATATATATACTAATAATATGTATACATCACAGTTTTGTTCTTCTACTTCTTTTCTTGTTTTAGACATGACTACCAATTTTTTAGCTAATATGCTTCATTCTTGACTATGGTATATAAGTTTTGCTTCGACTGTCTTTTTTAGTACACGATATTGTTATGGTTTTGGGTACTTTATTTTCTTTATGTTTAAAGATTTAGCTGGAAGTTGGTTACTTTTAATTTGGGAGGTCACTACCAATTTCTTTATGATTTTTGGTTGGGGTTGCACATTCAAGCAAAATCGAAGCTTGATCTACTTTTGTTATTTCATTGTGTTCATTGCTGCTATATATGATGGGTTGGTGAGTCTTGGATGACTTTTCAATTGTTCTGTGTTGGTCATTCATCTTGTCCAGTTGTTAAATTGGGTTTCTATTCTTTGTTGGAAATCCAAACAAATTCTTATTTGAATTTTAATGTGTGTATATATATATTTATATCTTAAATTTAGAAGAAAAAAAAAAGTTGTTCCCATGTTTGTATGTGTGTACATATATACATATATTTGTTAAACAAATTTAGAAATTAATTTAATTGGATTTTATTTTCTTTACTAAAATCAAAATATGTTTGCATATGTTTATATATGTATACATTCATATATATGAGATTTGAAAAATCAATTGAACTAGGTATTGTTTTGCTTGAATCTGGGTATTGCTTTTTCTCAACAAGACACTTGAGGGCATTATAGGCATTTCAGTATTTATCTTTGATGACATCAGCAGTTTATGTTAGTTGTGTGAACGGCATTCAAAAAATGGAGAAATCTTGATATTGTCAATTAAAGTATGGGAGGTTTCTGTAATTATTGAAACTACAGGGGAGTCCCTGTATTTGTCAGAAATCTCATGAGAGGTAAGTGTAATTTACTCTAAAAAAATTAATATTTTAATTATTAAAATGTGTAAAATATACCACTAATTTATAATTGTTTTTAGAAACTTCAACTGAATGGAAATTTTCCCAAATTATTATGCAACTGAATGCTAGAATTTCAAACAAATTTAATGAGAACAATCAACAAAATTCCATAATGCTTAAATCCCCAAAACTGTTAAATTTAGATAAGTGAGAGAACTTCAGTTCAGCAACATGCCTGGATAGTAGGAATTAATGAGACCGCATGGATCAAACAACTTCACCACCATAAAGAAAAAGAAAATAGATCTATATATGGATAGAATTAAATATATAGCATTTGCAAATAAAAGTATTGGAAAAAAAATCAATGTATTTCTAATATCAAATCATAATCGACTAGGTTAAAAACATTGGGCTGAACTCTTTTTGGGGTCAATGTAATAGTTATGAATAGTTATGGATTTGAGAGAAAGGATAGAAGAATTAAACCTACCCTGTGTTGGAACAATTCATCTTGAATTCTTCAGTTGGTGGTCTTCCGGTCTTCAAAATTTGGTGATGATCTTGTTTATGTAGAACAGAAATTTGGTACTTCAAGTCGCGTTACTTAGTCGTTTTCCTAAAGACAATATTTGCACTCACCAAAAGGTGTGCAGAGAGTTACAACAAATTTGCCTTCAGGATACAATGAAACCTGATCTAAAGATTAAGTCTACCAGCGTCTGCACTGACGACAGTAGATTAGAATACCCTTGATATAATCAAGAAAACCAAGACACTGATAATCAAGTTTGCAGAAGTTGAATACCAGTAAGAAAAGCAGAAACTTGCTTAAAAAACTCTAAATCAAGAGGGGGAGAGAATTACAGGAATGCTTTTTGAATTTTGAAAGGCCTTGATCACATCCGATCATATCTGACCGTTGGATCGACGATCTATGGTGTAGATCATTCTCACACCGAATAGATGCCTTAACTGATCATACATGATCATGATCGGGTGCCATCTCATTTGTACGATCACCCACATCTCCAATCAACAGCTATGATCAAGCCGCTCCAGATCGGACACACAACTGTTTGATCGGTTGATTGACTCATCACTGCCACGTGAAGTTGACTATATTCCACATCATCGCTCCAACCTGTCCAATGCGTTCATGCAAATTGCACCATCAAACACCACATAGCCTACGCCACGCACGCGTTTGCGTATGGTGCGAAGCACCACCCTTGTGGTGTGAGTGCGTGCATATTAGCATTCATTCTACAATTCCATATTTAAAAGAATATTCCATGTAGCACTTTATTAAGTGCTCCATGTTCTCCTCTCTTTCTAATGTGGGACAAAGTTCCTAATCTTATTTCAAGCTTTCCAAAGAAAAATAAGGAAGGTTTTGAAAACACTAAAAAATTAAACAATAAATTTTGAAAACCCATTTTGCAAATTCCACAACACTCTGGGCCATACAATACATTTTCAATCAAATTGTTCATTTTCTCATTTTAGGAAGAAAAGAACTAAAATCAAAATACTAACAACATCGCGATACATTAATACAAAACTTCTAACCCAACTACATGATCTACTTGTCACCAATACATGATAATAAGAGATCCCAAAAGCAAGTAAATCATGGAAATCACAGCAGACAAAATAGAAACAGAAGTTGGAACCCTACCCTTGTCCTTCCTCACCACCATCCCTTCAACAATTGGGGAGCTCATTGATACAATGAAAAATGACAAACCAACTTGCACAAACATCTCATTAACACTTCCACTGATAACCATCCTAGTAACTCCTCCAAACAAGCATACTAGGTTTAGAATCACCAAGGTGACCACTGGAACAATCAACATGTTTGATGCTTGGAAATCCAATATATCCATTTGGTATCTCTTGAGTTGCTGCTCATCATCAACAGCTTTATTGGTTGGTAGAAAATTGGCTTCTCTCATACCCATTCTCTTCATGAAAGCATCCAAACTTCCATAGAGATGACATGTGACTGCCTTTATCATCCACATTCTCTGTTCATTGCGCCATGTTTGGATTGAACCTCCAATTGAGAAGATCTCTTGGATGTGTTTGGATTGGGATGAGACGAAAATGAATGAAAATACAATGAAATACCAGCTTGAAACCTGCCAAACAAGAGAGATCATATTGGGTAGGTACTAAAGCCCTTCAAGTAGTGGCTAGGCATATCGGTTAAAATTTGTAACAATTTTGCTACAAATTCATAAAACCAATCACATAATAAAACACATAATATATATATATATATATATTTATATGCAAAATTTTACAAAATTTATTGATGGGATCCACATCTAAAAGATCTTATCCATCTATATATGTTTTAGTTTTGTGATTAATTTTTATATTTTTAGGCTTGTTAAATTTGTATTGCAATAATAAATAGGACTCACATTATTGTTTTTATTTTGATTTTAGAGTTAATAACACTTTTTACTCCTATAGTTTAACCTAAATCTCACTTTAATCCCTATAATTTCAATTTAAACAATTTGGTTAATACATTTTAAATCTAATCTCTATAATTTTAATCTGAACAAAGTCTAATTAGACAAAAATAGATCCCAAAAAATTAATTAAATTAAAAAATGGGTCCCACACCCATTCTCAAATCTGCTTAACTTTTTTGGCCCCACATTCCATTTTCAAATATGCGTACTTTTTTTTTATCAGATTTTGTCCAACTAGTTTTTGTTAATAAAATTACAATGGAAATAATAATGTTAAACAAATAGAAAAATTAATGATCTTGCTTACTGTAATCCCAAAAAGGGCTATCATTATAGTCATAAAAAGATCTTATCCATCTATATATGTTTTAGTTTTGTGATTAATTTTTATATTTTTAGGCTTGTTAAATTTGTATTGCAATAATAAATAGGACTCACATTATTGTTTTTGTTTTGATTTTAGAGTTAATAACACTTATTACTCCTATAGTTTAACCTAAATTTCACTTTAATCCCTATAATTTCAATTTAAACAATTTGGTTAATACATTTTAAATCTAATCTCTATAATTTTAATCTGAACAAAGTCTAATTAGACAGAATCAGATCACAAAAAATTAATTAAATTAAAAAATGGGTCCCACACCCATTCTCAAATCTGCTTAACTTTTTTGGCCCCACATTCCATTTTCAAATATGCGTACTTTTTTTTTATCAGATTTTGTCCAACTAGTTTTTGTTAATAAAATTACAATGGAAATAATAATGTTAAACAAATAGAAAAATTAATGATCTTGCTTACTGTAATCCCAAAAAGGGCTATCATTATAGTCATAGTTGTAAGATTTATAAAAAGAAAATTGTAAAATTTGTCAGCTCATATATCATTACTCTATCTGAAATCATAATTATGTAAAAGAGAAACAGAATTCATATATATCTTGGGTTACAAACTAACCTCAGGGTACAAGGGAATGCCATTGAGAAGATAGAGCTGAGGAATGGTTGCAAAGCACCACAATGGGATGAAACTTAAAGGAAAGAAGGCCAGTTCTGCATAGCACATTCTCTCAAGAACAGACATCTGCTTCTCCTTCTGCTTTGGACCATGTAGAAGAGGACAGAACCTTGAGATGGCAACTTCAACCAAACCAGAACCCCATCTGGTGCTCTGAACCAACACATCACTCAGATTTGTGGTGCATGAGCCCAAAAAAGCTGGCCTTGCCGGGTCACAATACACTGAAATCCAACCTTTGCCATGTAAATTGATAAAATCTGTGAAGTAGTCTTCCACCACTGAGAAATACAAGAAACCCACCTGCATATTGGAGCAAAGAAGAAAGCATACTATAGTTTCATAGTTCAAAAGAATCTCAAAAATGAACAAGAGGTCTACATACCCAAAAAATAGACTAGAAAATTATCTAGAATTTACAATTTAAGGCCAAAATTCATTCATGAATTGGCCCCACAATAAGAAGGTGAAATCTACACCCTATGTTTAATATTCGAGATAATTTTTCGGTTTGCGTCTAGATATGGACTTTCTACGAAAAAGAATGTGAACTTATATAACGTATATCACACCAAATTTGAATCTAAATCACATATTTTATTTTTGAAATATGTTTCTCATAAATGGGTTTGTCTCCAATATCTTGTGGTTACTTGATCCATACAGTTTGGGCTTGTATGACCATTATGGGCCATAATGTGATTATCCAAATTATTCATCATATTTACATATATATATATATATATATATATGTGTGTGTGTGAAAAAATCAGATTAATCCAATAATTATAATTACATAATTTTAACATATTTCTCTTTAAAAAAAATAGATTATTTATTTTTAAAATCATGATTATTGTCTATTTTTTCAAAGCAAAAAAAAAAATAATGTTGATTATCAAATCCTAGATAATCTACACATTAATTTACAAATTTGAATAGATCAAACTATCAGTGTGAGCCCTAATTACACCCATCCAAATCACTTAGTGGACTTTTTTTTTTTTTTAATTTTATTTTTTTCCTGTGAGTCAATAGCTTTTCTACACATTTACTTAAAAAATAAAATGTGTGAACAAGATTCATTATGAGAGTCACGCTAGACTAAATTTCAATCAACAGAATACACAACTTTCTCGATACTTTTTCTAAGTTGGTAGCTTTCGCGAAGTAGAAACTGTGGAGAGGATTTGTTGTTTTAGGACATGTACTTGCCTCTTTGCCCCATTTGGTTTGATTTTCATAAGCACATGATGCTAAAATTTGGGTTTCTTTGAACAACATTGTATTCGAAAAGTTACTGTGATTCGGCTTGTAATGTCGATCAAGAGATTTGATGAAGTCATTGGAAGAGCCGAAACACTGTTTACGTTTCATGATATCAACATCTGAAAATTAAAGAGAAAGTAATTAGAGATTTAAATAGCTATTATGTAGAAATATTAAACAGTGATTTGAAGTTGTTTTGCCACATGCTCTTATGTTCTGAATTTCCAGTAACCCAAAAAAAAAAACAAACTAACACAAAACGCCCACTTTTTTCAATTATGAACCACCAGAAGAAAGGAGTTGGGCTCAAGACTTTGATTTTCAAGGAATAGATGTAATGTAAATAGGCCACTTAATCCAATTGCACTGTCGAAGTGTCCATTATCTATTAAATATCCCATACAGTAATATTATAAATTCAAAAAAATTAACCAAAACTTTATTAAAAAGTTTTAATTTATGAATCAGATTCATTTCATAATTAAATAAAAATCTAAAACAATTTTTTTGAGTCAACAGTATTTCTGATTCTCTTAACGACATACCTTCTTTTATGAGACTTCCATAGAGTGCCTTTCTCTTTATGTAAAAGCATGTACCAGACAAACATGGTCCCTCAAGCCCATCCATACCTTTCCATAGTATCTGAATATTATTGGTTTTCAATAATTAAAAAAAAAAAAAAAAAACCACACTTCTATTATTATCTCATAATCATAAAGTCCTTGAACATAAATTCTTTTAATAAGAGAATAATATATGTTTTCATTTTATGTATGTACCGTGAATAACGATCTTATTCGGCAGTTGTAGATATCATTCTTGCTAATGTTGTGAAAATTCTGAGGAAATTGAACGAAAGCTAGGGAGGGTGACATTTTGGGATCAAGATGGAAACACATTGCTTGACGAGCCGATGACGAGTCATTGCAATACATGTCACAGTCCAAAACTAGTATGTATGGAGAATTGCTAATCATGGCTGAGACTCGAAGCTGCAACAATGATTAATTCATGTGAGATATTCATGCCAAAACATCGTATTTTGCAATTTAGTTTGGTGTGAACTTATCTATTTTATTTTTATTTTTTTTCATTTTTAAATTGCCCTATACAATTATCTCTGATTTAGATTTTAAATTTCAAAATTTAAAATTCTTTTATTTTATTTTATTTTATTGTAATCATATGCCTAGTGCATTGGAATTGAAAAAGGATAATGCTAGGGACACCAAATTTTCTACCAAACAAATGACCAAATGTCTCACGTGGGGCCCACAAAATTGCGGACTCCACACCCATGTGAGACATTTGGTCATTTGTTTGGTAGAAAATTTGGTGTCCCTAGCATTACCCTTTACCCTTTTTCAATTCCAATGCACTAGGCATATGATTAGACATTTTAGCTCAACTCATATTCCCTAGTTACATGTAGCTAGCCTTCAACGCTAGGCAAAATATATTCAATCATTGGGCTCATTTCCCTCCATCTTTGTTGCTGATGTGACATTCTATAAAATTAATAGTATTTGGATAAATAGCTAAAATAAAGAGCATGGTTGGAGAAAAAACATAAAACAATTGATAGGCAAAATAAAATGTATACTTAATAGGATATTATGTTGGATGATTGAGAAATATAAAATGACAGAATAAATGATGGTTGGTTAAGAGTATAGACACGTAGTACTCCGGAAATATTCTATAATCTAGGTCTCATGTACCATTCTCTTTGGGGTCAATCATTCGAGCGACAACATATATAGTTGGTAAAACGAACCTTTCAGACCTGTACGAATCGTACCTAGTGTCAAGAGTGTGAGTTCAAATCTACACATATGTGCAAATCTGCGACTTACCGCAACATGATTAAGTGACTCTGATTTTTTGTTAGGTTTATTTTTATTTTTAGTGAATTTATTTTTTAAAAAAAAGTACATCAAATTTATTTATTTTTTAGATTTGTCTCGTCTTGACAATCTTAAAAATTAGAATTAATTTTTTTTTTAAAGTTTAGAAATGACAAAAATGTACAAGCTGATTTTTGTAAATTTGTTTGATAAAATGTAACTTGTTTTGTCTATATAGAATTTTTTTCAAAGCTGACTCGAATCTTTTTTAGAAGCATCTAAAAGTAGTTTTTTTTTTTTTTTTTTTTTTTTTTTTTTTCTAACTTGAAGTTAGAAAAAAGTTAAAAAAAGACAATGTCACAAAATAATTATTGATTAAACTATTACAAAAGTTATATCAATAATTACAATAATGGAGTAAGAAATTCAATAACAAAAAATAATATAAAAGTAATCTAAGCATCTCCAACCCACTAGGCATATAACACTTGTTAGTTACAATGTCTAGTGTGACTCACTTTTTTCAATTCCAATGCACTAGGCATATGATTCGACATTTTAGCTCAACTCATATTGAGCATCTCCAACGGTAGTAGGCATTTTACCTATCCAAATATTACTATAAAGTATATATTTTATTTTGCCTATCAACTGTTTTATGTTTTTACTCCAACCATGCTCTTTATTTTAGCTATTTATCCAAATACTATTAATTTTATAGAATGTCACATCAACAACAAAGATGGAGGGAAATGATCCTAATGATTGAATACATTTTGCCTAGCGTTGAAGGCTAGCTACATGTAGCTAGTGAATATGAGCTGAGGCAAAATGCCTAATCATATGCCTAGTGCATTGGAATTGAAAAAAGTGAATCACACTAGGCATTTTAACTAACAAGTATTATATGCCTAGTGCATTGGAGATGCTCGACGAGTCTGGTAGAAAGATTTTTTATAATTTTATTAGTTATTTTAATTAAATTGATAGTATAACTAGTTTGAAAGCATTGCATACAAGAAATACATGTGATCATGTGGCTTTTGAAAGCATTGAAATAATAATGACAATAATTTGTTTAGTTAAAGGCAATTTTCCAAGGCAAAAATGGAGTATGGATTTTTTAAATTGCTTTTTTTAAAAAATAATTTCCTAGTGATTTAATATTAAAATTTTAAAAATATAAAATGAAGTTAGAGAAATTTTTTGAGCCTTAAGATAGTATTAAAAAAATTATATTTTCGTATGAACTTAGAATTTAACATTGTAATTTTTTTACAAAATTTACTAAATACTGGTGCTAGTAAAGATATAAAATTTATTTTAAAAAATTAATAAAATATCTCAAAAAATCATATATTATAAACAACAATTAAGTTTAAGATCTTTTAAAAAAAAAAATATCCCGCATCAGCACCATATCATCAAAACCTCATCATTTAGACAAAGTTCCACCACCTATTTCTCAAGCACCTAACATCACTCGAGTACTTTAGCCTCCGTTTGAGCAGTGGGTTGACTTTTTGGCTTTTTTAGCTATTTTAGTCTGGGCTTAAAAGCTTGATTTGGGAAGAATTTTTTGACTTTTTAGCTTTTTTAGCTATTTTAGTCTGGGCTTAAAAGCTTGATTTGGGAAGAATTTTTTGACTTTTTAGCTTTTTTAGCTATTTTAGTCTGGGCTTAAAAGCTTGATTTGGGAAGAATTTTTTGACTTTTTAGCTTTTTTAGCTATTTTAGTCTGGGCTTAAAAGCTTGGTTTGGGAAGAACTTTTTGACTTTTTAGCTTTTTTGAGTTTTTTTGTGAGAGAAAAATGTAATGATTATGGATTGAATGTGATGTTTTGTTTGTTATGACTAAAATAACCTATTTTATCTTTTGTGGCTAAAATAGCCAAAAAAGCCAAAAAGCCAAAAAGCCAACCCACTTCCCAAACAGAGGCA